CAAAGTAGTAGTAGTGTGTGCAGAGTGTGTCAACAGGAGCTTGAAAACTATGACCTATTATGAATTAAAAGCTTACTAGTGTTTATTGGTGTGCTGCATAAGGACTTTGGGGGTCCCTATTAATACTTTATAGCAAGGTTTTTATTTATTTTTGTATGTTTTTGCAGCAAGCCATCTTAATATAAACTTCCTGATACAGGCCATGCAAATGTCCTTCCTTTTGCTCATGAGAACTAAGGGAGTTAAATTTTTCTCTTTAGCCATGTGGCAGTTTGTTACAAATACATACTGCTGAAGAGCTTACATTTCCTTGTTGCATTGAGAATAGGTTCTGTCTCATGCAAAAGCATGACAACATGAGAGTGGGGAGACATTTTGCCTGCCTCTTCCATCCTACTTCCACATTCCCTCCCACACCTGTCCCTACATGAGAGAGGAACTTTTAAGTCAATGAGCTCAGAAAAACATTAGCAATTTGCATTCACAACTGAGAAGACACATCTCCTGGACATTTTTAGATAAGGAAACCCGCACTTAGTAAAAGGAGTAAAATCTTTATCTGAAAAACAGGCAGGGAGGGATGAGGCATCTGAACTATCTTTTGGCAACAGCAAGTGTTCATCCCCAGTGCACCCATCTACGGCTAACAAAGATAACCACCACTGCAGCAACAATTCCAGAGCACAAAGCAGTAACTCTCCTGCCAAGAGCCCAGCAGATGTTAATGATTTTATTTCACAGATTTAAAAGGGAGAAATAATGCCAGCACCTGAAGATGCCTAGAATCGAGCTTGGTCCTAAGCACAGGCTCATTTTGCTGCCTTCTCCACGCCATCAATGTCAGGAAAGAAGAAAAGACGTTTAAAACTGCACTACATCATTTTGTATGCGAATAATTCAGCTTTGCTCAGATCTTCGCAGGCAACATGTGGGACAACTGGGGGATCAGACCTAGCCAGCGTAGGTTCACAAAAGGCAGGTGCTGCTTGACCAACCTGATCTTCTACGACTGAGTGACCCACGTGGTGGATGAGAAAAAGGCTATTAACATAATCTACCTAGATTTCAGCAAGGCCTTGACACGGTCTTCCACAGTATTCTTCTGGAGAAGCTGGCAGCCCATGGCTTGGGCAGATACACTCTTTGTCAGAGAGCTGTAAAGAGCTGTCTCTATGCCTGGGCCCAGAGAGTGGTGATGAATGGAGTTAAATCCAGCTAGCGACTGGTCTTGAGTGGCGTTCCCCAAGGGTTGATACTGGGGCCTGTCCCGTTCAATACATTTAGCCACAACAACCCCAGGCAACACTACAGGCTTGGGGAAGAGTGGATGGAAGACAGCGTGGAAGAAATGGACCTAGGGGTGTTGGTCGATGCTCAGCTGAACATGAGCCAGCAGTATGTCCATGTGGCCAAGAAAGCCAACGGCATCCTGGCTTGTATCAGAAATAGTGTTGGCAGCAGGAGCAGGGAAGCAATTGCCCTCTGTACTTAGTACTCAGAGTACTCTGTACTCTGGTGAGGCTGCACCTCAAGTACTGTGTTCATTTCCTGCAGACTTCCTTGTGTGATCTACATCTCTAATGCAGTGGTGGACAGCTCTTCCTCCTGTCCTTGGCTCTGGCTCCTGACCTCTGGCTTTAGAGTTTAACTCCTAATTCCTTGTTTTAATTTTGTGCAGACCCTCTCACTAAGTGCCTCAATCCCTACATCAAGAAAGCAGGAAATTAAGCAAATAACAGTACAGAATGCAAAGCACCTCAACTTTGGGACAATACAAAGTTGATCTGGACAGACAGTAGGAAACAGGTCCCTGCAGCTATGTCCCATTGAAATTGGAGGATGTAAGCAAAGAGAGGCAAAGGGAGAAAATGACAGCAATCAAAACAGAAGACAGAGCACGTAAGGGCAATGCCTTTGTAACTATCTTGGAAGGAGGGAGAAATTCAGACTTTCTGGGTGTTGTGTTGCATAACAGGAAGGATTATGCTATTAGCAAGGGAGAAAGAATATAATGAGAATCTGATATTAATTATACATCTACTAAGTTCTGCTCAAAACCTTATCTCTACTTCCCCCTGTCAAATAGACAGTCAGTCTTTCTTTGTGCTTATCTTAGAGAAGAGGGCAGGGAAGATCAAGTAGACAGAACAGGAAAGTCATAAAGAAAGAGCAACGAACAGCTGTCTTAGAAGTTTATCAACATACATCTGCCATGTTCACTGCTCCAAGTAGATGATTCCCTTGCTATTTAGAATACCACTTAACCCAAGTTACTTTTAAGCTTTTTCTTCGGGCAGTGCTCCTATCTATTTCTTTGTCCACAAAGCACTGATCTCACCCTGAGATCACCCTGTGATCTCTGAAGTATCAATTCCCAGCCTCCTCAGGTAGGTCACTTAGAAACCTCATGCCCTCCTCAAAACACCTTTGCGGGTTCTTCCCTGGAATAGTGCATAAATGCACAACAGCAGTGTTATTCTTCCTCTAAGGCACTAGTCAGATTGTTTCCTTTGAACATCCATCAGTTTAGAAGGGAATCCTACACAGGCTTCATATTCAGGTGCCTTGTGTCTTCTTTTCCTTCTAAGATTTTAGGGAACGTGACTTCTGCTACAGCTCACTGAAATCCCTGTTTCTCAGGGATGTATCAGCCTTACTTAGAAGTACTTTGGCAATGTCCAAGAGGAGACAAGCTGCACTGGAGACACAGGAAAACTATCTGCACCACATGTAGTACACACATTCACATACGTTAGGTATGGCTATGTTATTATATATAGCTCACATTTTTCCACTTCCTTTAATACTGAAAATGTCTCTAACAATTCCGCTCTAGTTTCCTTCAATTTGACAGCATCTGAAATAAGCAACAGTCTTCAGCCTTTTTTTTTTGCTGGCTGGACAACACAGCGGTCAGTGCTGTACCAGCTATGGCTGGAGTTTGGCTTCCCTCCCTTCAGGCTCTCTTCTAACCCTCCCCAGCTACAACCATATTAGTGGGGGAGGGAAACCCATCACAGTCAAACCCAGAAAGCACTCAGTGAAAACAAATAAGGTTGCTAAGGAACCATCCAGGTAAAACTCAAACCCACAAAATTTGGGCAACAGGAAGAAGTTCACACGCTGGCTGCAGACAGACACTGCTCATTCCCCTCAGTGCTCGCTCTGTCATGTTGTACTAACAGAGATGGAGGCTGTTATTGCTGTGATCCTATGTGGGACTAATTCCCAAAAATGTGGGAATTCCAAGAGCCCAGCATATGGCATCACTCAGTATTTACCTGCCCCTCCTCCAACTTTTTTTTGAAATCATTCCATACAAAAAGAGCCAAGTAAAATGTAATAGTTAGAACTCATTGTACAACTGCATCATTACCTTTAATCACAGCAGCCTCATTTGCAATAGCAGTGAAGGTGCCAGCAGCACAGCACAGCAGCACATAAACCATGGGGATGCAGAAGGCACCAACCCCTGCCCGTGCCTTTCTGCCAGCTCAGCTCAGGGCAGTGCAAGCATGACTTCTCATCTGCAGCTCCACCTCCATTCTGCTGTGCAGGTACAGCCTCTGGAAGCATGCCTTGTCAGTGGGGAGCTTTTCCTCCAAACTAAACTCATCTCTGCAACCCATAAATAAAGCTATGTCCAGTGCACCACTGGAAGGTAAGGAGACAAAAAAAGGAGAGGTGAACAAAGTAGTTGTGCCTTGCACATGCCACAGAGCCCTGGGGGCCATGTTTATGTGCTTGCAGACCTACAGAGCTCCAGATGCAAGGGGCTCAAAGGCTGCCCTTTGAGCACAGCATGTTCTGTTCCCCACGCACACACCTACAGTGAAGCATCTGACAAGTTTCCTCATGCTTTAGAAGACTGTGAGAAAGAAGAACATGTAACTATAAAGTTGTTATATTTAGCCCTCGTATCTCCACTTACCTTGAGTCAAGCCAGATACTCAAACCACAGAACTGCCTGCCGTGCAGAGGTGCCATCTTACATGCTGTAGAACAGAGATCACATTTGCCACTCGTCTCAGGGCTTAATCGTTGCTTTGCAGCAAGGCTGAAACTTCTCCAAAACAAACGTGGTGAGTTCAGGATGAAGCCAAGCTAGCAACCATCTCCTTGCACACTGAGAAACTCACAGTGCCCACTTTGCACCAAGACAGCACCACTTTGACTAATACAAAGTACTTAGTAGAAACTGAACAAATTTAAATCCCTGATTGCAACATAACTTGAAAACAATTCGTATTAAAAAACACAGCCCAATAGTGAAAAATATTTTTAGGGAAAACATTGAAGATATATGCTTTTCTTAGCTAAATGACCTCAAAAAGACCCCAGACTTTCAAAGCCCTTTCTTTGTCATGCTGCAAGTTTCATCAAACCAAATGCAGCAAGAACACAGCGTGGCATTTGCACAGCCAGAGTTGCAGCTCAGCTCTTGCACAAGGACAGCAAAGCTGCCCAACAGCTTCCATCCAGGAATGAGGAGACAAGTAAAAATAACAAACGATCTCCTTCTGATGTGACGTTTCAGCTGACAAAACTTTAAGAGAACTGAATGGATAAGAAAGGACTGAAGAGCAAACTTGCAGCATTGCTGCGTTCATCGTGTACATAAAGTGCACATATTTATAATAATTATAGAATCCTCCCCAACTCACAAGCATAAACTCTGGAGAGAAGCAGCTCACAAACGCAGGTAAAGGAGACTTGTAACTTTCATGGTTGCTTCACATACTGTTAAATAAAGCATGGTAGAAATAGTTAAGATCAGCAAAAATACTAACTTACCTCTGCTTCTTCCATTCTGGGCGCAAATCAAGCATCAAAGATTGAAATTCAAACTGTTAAGGTTTCATTTATGCCTAAAGCAAACATCAGGTACTTTGCTACCATGGTGATGAACACAGCAAAAACACCTTAATCTCTTCTGATTCTGCAAATGTTAAGGAGGGCTTGGTGCAACAGTTAAGAGTAATCTGGCATTAGACACGTTATGGGTTCATACTTTAGAAAATGGTTTGGAGTTTATTAAGTATTGCAATTGTGCATAAACCGAAATACATCAGCAGTAAATGAACACAGAAGTCATGCTGCACACATTATGTGTACACATTATGCTGGTCCTGCAAAGAATTTATAAGATAGGTTGACTGATCAAGGTTTCCCAACATTGTAACCATAAAACTGTTAGGGAAATGAGTCACCTGCTTAACCAGCACATGTTTGCTCATATCAAGAGAATAAATATTCAGCTTTGGAAAACTAAACAAGTTACATCTTGTGTTTTTTGTTTCCCCCCTCCCCCCCCCCCTTCTAAATAAGCAGGTTCTAAGCTAAAGCTCAGTAACTCAATGTTCCCTTTAAAATGACAAATCATAAAATAATTTTTTGTTTTGTTTTTTAAATATAAAACCAAAGGTAAAGGCAGCTGAATCCTTTGTGTTTGTCACTTTTATATTACAATTTACATTAAAAAAATTAAGATACAAATAGTTTTCAAAGTTATTCCACACTATCACACAGATTTTGTCTTTTTAGGACTAATACCACCATCTTCAACCGACTTCTCTGCTGGTCTCTTTTTTAACCCCTTCATTTTTCTTGTCTGCAGTTTACTAAGATCTTGTTTCTGCATGTGGATTCGACCATAAGTTGTACCAAACACATCATGGGAGATGTTCTTTTTCTTCTTAGGCTGTAAGGGAAGAACATCATCAGTATTTCTGAGCAGAGCGTGGCTGTAGCTGTGGTGAGAAGCCAGGCATCTGCCTGTATAATCATTACCAGTAAGCCACCAAATCAAGTGCCTAAAACAAAGGATGCACATGATCCCAAGGTATTTACCTTTAGGGCTTTGGGTTGTTTTAAAGATAGCTTATAAAGGTCATCCGAAGCTAAATGTGTTCTCCTCATAACCAAATCTAATGAAGGTCCTATATCTTCCAGTTCAATTCTTGGTATTTTACAGCCAGATTTCTTCAGAAGCACCCTAGAAGAGAAGAACAAAAACAACAACATTGTCCTTTGTGATATTTATCTGTCTTCCTAAAGGGCAGTTTCAATCTTGCAGTTGGGAAGATCATTAAAAACAACTGCTACTGCTAATTCTATTATTGAGAAAGATGTCTATCAATAAGAATTTATAATTCACTTCCCTCAAAACATGAGTACACTTAAAATATGATCTGTTTAGCTTTTGTTTTTTTTTTAAATGGGATTACAACTGTTAAAACTCAATTATACTACCCTAAAAAGCCACACCATTCCATAAAATCAAAGTAATGCCCTGTGTATTAATAAACAGGGAAAGAACATATACTACAAAATGCTTTGAGCCTCGGGCAAGAAATTTGCTTTTCTTTTTGTGCTGTTTTGCTGTGTGTGTACTGTTTTTTGTTTGTTGAAGAATGAGACTGTAGACAGCTTTTTTTGTTACAAGAGAAATCAAAGTCACACAGAGTACGCACATTTTCAGCACTCGTAGCCCACAAAGGAAAGGCCATGAACTGTGAGAGCAAATGCCAGCGCAGGAAGAAAGATTATCTCATCCTGCATGTTCCTGTTTTCCCTTCTGTATCTCCGGCTACAGCATACTGCCTGCTGTTCTTCAACAGAGTCCCAGAAATCAGCCTGACAACAAGACTAAGTCTATGAAGCCTAAAAAGGTACTCCAAATTCATCCCCAGGTCTAATTTGCAACACCTTAGCAGTCCAACCATGAGAGAACGATCCTCCTAGCTAGAAGGAAGAGCTCAACAACGAAGAAATGAATATGTTTAAGTTTTAAGTGCTTTCCTTCTGCCACACAAGTTACTCTGAGTTACAGTGGAACACCTCTACACAGCACATGTTTTAAATGCAGTTCGCTTCTGCTCCAGGCAGTTCAATTACAGAATTACAGGCTAAAATTTGGGAAAGCTTGACAAGTGTACCTAAAGAGCAAACACGGATAGAATGCACACTCACTTGTAGCTTCTCATGTAAACTTTCCCATCAACAGCTGTGAAATGCAGAACGTGTTCTAACCCAGCCAGACGAATGTTGGGCACAGTAGGACCTCTGAAGAAATCTGAAAAAATATTTAAAAGTAAGTGCTCAATTTCTTGACTGAAAACAAAGCCAGGAAACAACTGTAACAAATTGGCTCATTTCGTAATGGATCCAAATGATAGCAGCGAGATAAACTCCTTGACTCTGAAGATTCTCTTATGGTATCAGAAAGGGTCTTTGTGAAACCAAGTGCGTGTAGGAATCCTGAGAGGAACTCTTCCCAGAGATAATTCAGAAGCAACGTACGTATATGGGATCTAAACCCAAGTGCGTGGACAAGAACAAATACCCTTTCAGAGCAGTAATTCTGTGTTAACAATCTGATTGACGTAGCAGAATAGTCTATCCCTCTATATTTTTTAGCTACAAAGTCTTAAAACTAAATGCACCTTATTTTATGTTTGGGCCAATTCACGTTCAGCTAAGCAGATCAGTGTGGAGAAGCCATTAATTCAGATGTGTTTTTAAGACAGCACTCAAGACTCTTAATCAGAGTCAGATTTGGAAGAACATAAAGAAGCGATAAAGACTTGTACAAAACAGAACAAAACTATTTTGTTTAATCTTATCTACCTTCCCTCTCAGTGACTTGGGCACGAAAGGTTTTGGTATGTGAATTCCTTCAAGCCTCCCCCACAACAAAGAACTTATGTTCTTTGAGTAAGAGATATTTGTCATCACAATTAATGTTTTCTCTATTTAATAAGCAAAACACACCTATAAAAAATAAACACTAGAAATACTTGCTTCGTTTGCAAACAGAACACCAAAAGACAAGTTAAATATAAAATAAGCCATCTTCAGTCAGCATTTTACGTGAGGCTATGAAAAGTACTGTGCAATCAGTGCCTGAAATAAGCACAGCAATCTGTCCAGCAGATGCAGGGGGTGGAAAAAAGAATGTGACCTTGAGTGAGGGAACAAGGTGTGCTAATAAACATAACAGTGCAGTGCTGAAACATGGGAGAACTGCTAACAGATGCAAAACACATCAGTCTCTTCCTGTCTCATTTCAGGTTCCTCAGCTAGTCATCTTTTCCTCCATTAGCTTTTTCAAGAGTATCAGCACTGGAATGGCATCCAAAACAAAGTCTTGCTGGCATGTATCAGTTGGAGTCTAGCCAGGAAATTTTCTTGGTCAGTTAAATACTCTCACTCCTCCTCTCCTGGGTTGAGTTTGTAGTTAAGGAGAAAAAGTTGCAAATACAATATTTTGTTCACTTTTTGCATGTACTTTTCCCTCTGACTCGTGCTCTGTGGGTTCACAAGTGTACATTTACAGCAATTCTACTGGCAACACTTCTCTTTTAGCATTTTCCTGTGGCATCAGACATCCTTTTACCCACAGGATGATCTCTTCCAAACAAATGCAGGTGGTCAGGAATTTCTGTTTCCTGGCAGCATTCAACAGCTGCAGAAACCTTACACTTCAGTGCACCCAAAGAGCTGAAATTTTTAATGTTTCTCAATTTACATCTCTTGCTTTAGTTGGACTAGAATCTTGCTTTCTCCTCTCTTTCCATTCCCAGTTCTTTCTCCCTCAACACATTTCCAGAACTTCTGATTTACTTTTTTCTGCAGAGGGCTTCACAAACCCAATTTATACTAACCTATACACTTCTTATATCAGTTCATACGCAGAAGGTGGCAATACTGTAACCTCTGAAGCTACAATTAGCATTAGAGGAGTTTAAACTCTATCCCAGACTTTCCAGACTTTTTTCCCCAAACATCCCCTTTCTTGACCAGATGGAACCCAAAATCCCTGGGGTGGTCAAAAGTCTGTGTGAGGACATTAGTATGAAGAACAAGCCAATCTAAAACTGTAGTAGTCTCAACAAATCAACAGTTTAGAAAGTGTATAAGAAAGCCATGTAATGCCTAATCATCTTTAGGACCAAAGTGGCATGCAACAGCAAACTAGCCAGCAGGCAGCAATTTAAGGGAAGAAATACTTCATAAATGCAAGCATAAGTAGTTATTAGAGTTTCATGAACTGCGCTCCAAGAACTTACACTGAAAATGGATTCCTGTCCTACTACCTTGTTAGACAATGAAAACAGAGAAAGAACAGCATGTCTTACATTCCAGGCTTCTAAAAAACAAATTCAGCTGCCATTTCTATCTTCTAAATAAATTCTTGCACTTCACATTTTAAGCTGGCTACAGTGTTTGCTTGACATGAAGACAGTAAATCACCCTTGGTTTTTAATTCTACAAAGAAACTGCTGTAAGGTGATACTCCTAACACGCACAATCCCTCTTGGTAGCACAAAAGCCAATGAAAGCTTGGTTGTTCACCAGCATCACACTGCGTGGGCAACAACAAGTTGCTCGCTATCTAATATTCCCACTGGGATTTCAGCAGATCTAATACTGTAACAAACTACTTGCTGTTGTTAAAGGCGTTTTTCTTTCTTAGAAATGAAGTCTGAGCTTAAAAGCACTATCTTTGCAGGAACAGAATGAATCTGTTCTCCCCTGTCAGTTAAGAGCAGTCAAATTATCAACCAAATTATTTTAATTGGTTACTGATAGATTCAAGTCTTCATATGACTTAGCCTTCCCCTTTTATCTATTGTCTTTCATTTAGGTTCCTCACAGAAGTCAACAGAACATCAGGACCTGGAGTACTTGGAATACATGCAACATATTTGAGTACAGTTGACAAGAGAGTTATTACATGTAAATTAACAGAAGAAATGACATGCGAACATCAAAATCAGAGGACAGGAAAGACTTGCCAGTTCTTTGGCAACTATCTAATGATGCGTGTCTTCTATTTAAAGTATCAAGTTGCTTGATAATGGGGTAGATGAAGACACCTGGATGCGAATCACCAACACTGTGCTGGTGTTGGAACGAGATACATCTTAGAAAACAGAGCGGGTACATTCTGCATGTAATGTAAATACTCATTTACAGTGACACAAATATGCATTAAACTCATTAATCTTCATGTTCAGTGGTCACCCAACTTCAAAGGTCCATAAGCACAGTACTAGTCTTTCATATGCCCAAGGACCACTCAGCTGTATTGAAAGGATAGAAGTGTTCTCTTCTGCTCCCTTTCAGTCTCACTGTAGATGAAACATCCTGCTTTAAGGAATCAAAAGAGCAAGTGAGAAAAAATAAAATCTAAGGTCACTTTCTAAAAAGCAATGATTCTGTCTGTTTCCCTAGAAAAGGGAGTCCAATCATTATTTACATAAAAGGAAGATCTTACAAAGATGGAAGATTATGAAACAGTACAACCCAAGAATGGAACTGGAAGAACATGCCTGCTCTTCTCAGGCCAGTTTCGCTTCTACTTAAGCTTATAGAAGTAATATACTGTTAAGAAAGCTGTTATGAAGCATAAAAAAAACACACCACTGTAACAACCTTTTTGTTTTTTGGGTTTTTTTTAAGTGTGAGGAGACACTGCACCACATGACCTGCAAGTCCTAGGAAGTTACCCTAAGAAGTTTCATTATTTTTTTGTAGCTCCTCAGCTAAAGTCAAAAGTTAAAGCGTGCTTTAACTTCTGACACTTCCAACCTTGAGGTAGAATAAAACACTTCAAGTCATTTCGTTCATTAAGATCTCAGCCTGCCTGGACATTATGGCACAGCTATTATTTACAGCTAGTTTTTAATGCACGCATTCATTCCAAATACTCAGATCAATGGCACTTTTGTGAGAACTGGCCAAATTTCCAACAGAAAATGCTTTCATAATAGAAACACAGGCTCAATTATATCAACACTTTCTGTAAGCAAAAACATCCCACTTAATGAAATTAATCCACTGATTCAAAATTAGATATTCATTTTGTCAGGAAAGTAATGTAGCAGTGTAATTTACAAGGTAAATACTTTTTTGAAAAATGCCAAAATTCCCCACACAATCAACACTGTGAATATTAGTGAGCATACATTTTCAACTTTGGGGTCTTTTAGGCTAGTTGTCTTCATCAGTCACGATGATTACTTAACTCTAACTTCATGCCACGTGAAATTTACAAGTGTCTCTCCTCTTGGTTTCCTTCTGGGTCAAACAGGAGCAAACAGTTACTGACAAGCCACCATTTCCCAATATCATACTGCGACAGATTTATGAGATCCCACTGCTCAAATAATAATACACTGACCAATAAGAAGGCTCTTCAGTCTCCTGTATTCTTCATTTAAATCAAACGTGTCACCAGCAAATATCAACATAGGTTTTGTTCCTTCAGGACATTTGTTGTTCTGTGGGATAAGAATTTTAAAGCAACAAAAATTCAGACTGTATTAGGGAACTGATTATTGTATTAATGGCTGGTTATCCATTCAACACTGAATGAAAAATGGTGACTCTGATCTCTAGACAGAACAGACAACTTCTTTTCTTGTGACATGCGTATGGAAAGATGTGTTTCTAAACAAATGATTTGTATTACCAGGTTTTAAAAACGTATTCATATAAAACATGCAAAATAACTCCTTGCAGTGAAAACAATTAATTTGACCACAACTGTGAACAAAAAAACTAGAGATAAACAGATCTGCTGTACTTTGATACTGGAGAGTACATGAGAAAAGCCAAAAGAATAGTCAACCACCAAATTCTGATTTTGACCAACGAACACAATTACTTGATTAGAACTTCCCCACCATAAACACTACAAACAATCTGACTTCAAGGAAAAGGTTCACATTTATAAAAAGTGAATTTTTTTCACTCTACCTCTGGACAGCCCTGCAACAAACTAGTGAAAGCAAGGGCCATAAACTTTCCTTATTTTTGCAGCATTTGAAGTATTTGGAACACTTTTAATAAATTTTCCACCTTCAAAACATTGTCATACCAACACGGCTGCACTGATGAAAATAATTCAGCCGGAGAATAAACTCTCCCCTGTGCCACTGGTTCACCTTCTATTAGATTAATTCTCCAGAAAGATCAGCTGCATAGCAATAAAGATGTAATGGGGTGGGAAAGTTGTAAGCACTGCTATCCAGAGCTGTATTTGTTGGCAGCTGGATCACCATCTGATTTTTAATGTGATTGAGATTTGAAAAATGCCTATTTATACAGAAACCTCCCCTGAACAAAACCTGAATAAAGAATTGTGTACATGCAAGTAATTAAAAATAAAAAAATAGGAATAAAACAAGTCTGAAAAAAAGAATTTGTAAATAAAGTTGTAGGAAGCTTACAGCAAGCTTGCCATATGCAAACCAAAGAAAAAGCACATAAAAGTAAGGCTGTATGGAAATACAAAGTAGCAATACTCGAGTACAGCGTGAAACTATTTCTTTAAAAAAGCTTCTGGTTTTAAGATGCAGAAAATGTAAATGCACCGACAAAACCCACCAGTAGATGTCACTAAAAGTCTGTATCAACTCCTCACCTTGATGTCTTTCAGGGACACAAAGTTCTCAATGCCTAGCTCAATCATGTCCAGCACGTGGTAATCAAACATGCGACCTGCAAAAGAAAAGGAAAACCACACCAACATGAACACTTAAATATCTGTTGAAATCTAGACTTTCTATCCAAATAGCAACCCAAGGCAGACACATTACCTACTATCAGGTTATTGGGTCGCTTCTTGTTATGAGAGCCAAACAGAAACAAAGAACAATCTGATTTCTTGGAAAAGAATTCCTACAATTAGGAAAGAGAAAAAATGATAAATCATGAGTTTCACCTCATAAGCACTTAAAATATTCAGTACACAACCTGCTTCTAAGAACTGCATTTATCAGAAAAGCGCCACAGTTCCTATACCTACACCTAGCAGCTGTGAAGCAGAAGAACCTGCATATCTCCTCCCAGCAACGGCAGCAGTTAAGAGGCTCATAAGAACACTCTGCCTTGCCTGCAGCTCTTCATTTCTGGGAGGTCAAAGACACCTCCCTGTCTGGGCGAACTGCATTACAAATCACACTTCAGCACTGAGCTCTGCCTCCAGGTCCCAGAAAAGTATTGATTGAAGACAGATAAAGAACAGACCTGCAGGGGACTCCCATTGAAACCTCTGCACACAGCTCTTCATTACCTCACTTTGACACCTGTAAACATTTTTAACAGCTGCATGGCACTTCATTAAAGAGATGCAACAAACTCAAAGGCCTAAGATGTGCCCCATTTATACTGTAACATCTCATGCACCACTAAACTGACTTTTAAAAAAATGTATGTAATCAAGTTCAAAACAAAAAAAAACCACTTGATTTTCTGTATCTCTCTGATTGTTCACTGATACACTTATCAATGACCAGACTTATTCTAAGAATGCAGATGCAATGATGACCAGAAGCATCAGAATGTTTTTAGCTGTCATGTTTTCCTAGAATATAGCTAGTTTCTATATGGCTGTGAGCTAAATCATCCAGCTACGTGCCTGCAAGGAGTTAATTTTCAGCTAATAATGTTGCACATTTTTCCTGCTGCCTACAGTTTCACGTTCCACTAAGAAAAAAGGTTTTTACCTGACACATCTACATGATTTTTTATTTCATACACATATTTACTTACTACTGTAGCCCCCAACTCCCAACTTCAGTGTGCACTTTCAGTGACTTGTTTTAACAACTGCCCTTCATGTTGGAACGCTGATCCCTGTTTCCTATACACGAGCCAGCAGTAGCACAGGGCAAGTTATTGAATCAAGTTGCTTGGTTCCCACTGATCATATTTTGAGATAACTCATTTCTGTCTTTAATGCAGAACCACAACCATATATCACCACCATTCCTGTTTTGTTGAATATACTGATTTTATGACAGATATTTCAGCACTTCAAGTGAACTGCTAGGAAACCAAAATAAAACTCTTAATTCTTCCTTTTGTATCAAGCACTGTTACTTATAACAGTATTACACTTTCCTAATTTTGCCTGTCAGTTTAGAAAAACAAGTATTTAAGGTAAAAACAACATCCTCACAACATGGGGATTCTGTCTTGCAGATGGAAGAATAAAATGCCTATGATACCATAAATCTAGATGTAATTCTACCTTCAGCTTATCCAGATTCATTACAGACTTGTTTTTCATCAAACTTCCGATAGTATAACAGAAAATCATCCTCCAGAAATGTTATTCGTGATTTCACAGCTGAAAGATCTCATAAGAAAAGATACGGTCTATACTTACCAATGATGTCTGGTCCTCAAAAGGCCTGGTAATATTTTTCCTGACAGGAAGTGAGGATAAAAAAAAATTGTAAAGTTTGAGATAAGCACTCCAGTTATTTTTCTGATAACATTAAGATTCTGGATTCTGCTGCAAACTGCAGCACTAGAAGTTCAGTGTTAGTTCAAAATGCAGGCCACATTTATATTGCCAGGTGTTCTTCAGTGCTGCCACTGCCATTTTAAGTAAACTTTTCCAAGATTCCTGTCTCCTGGAGCCCAACTTTCACAACAACCATGTCAATGACACTTTATGAACTACTGACTGCTTGTTCATCCAACGTTAAGTTTAGCTCTTAAAGTTGATGCTTCTATCCCACATTCATACAGACAATGGCTTCCCACTTGGAGCAAGATTAATCCTGTCATTATAAGCAGCCTACCTACCTACCTGACAGAACCTTGCTAGATGTTTGCACAGCTGAGGAAGCCAATTGTCCAAGTCTGTTGAATCCTGCTCTGTTAACATCTGCCACAGAACTGCATCAACAATGGCTCTACATCAACACTGACCACGTCCTGCTGGTTTCCAGTCTACTAAAACTTAAGATGAATCTCAGCCACCTTCTGTAACCCTTTGCATTGTTAAAGCCCCCATGGTAACCAGCATCTCTGTTCACGCTTGGAAATTAACAAATCCTGAATTGTACATGATCACTTACTTTTTATACATCACAGCAAAAGGCTTCTTCAGAGCATACTGCAAGAGACAAAGTTAAATGTGTTACATCAAATACATCTAAATGCACAGCACTGCTTTTCCTTAAACTCTAAAACTTACAGGAGCCCAATAAACAGTATAATTGTTTGTGCAAATCAATCTAGAAAATAAGTCAGCTGTAAAAGTCTGCTCACAATAAAACCCTCCACTGTGGCAATCCTGTCTCTGGATCACAATTAAAAGAAGAAGGATTTATTTCTAGAAACTAAAAAACAAACTAAGAAACAACTGAAATCAAAGCCACGTAATATAAGCCCATTTGCCTGAGGGGGGAAGAAAAAAAAACACACCAAAAAACAAAACAAACAAACAAAAAAAACATTGAATGAACAGCCATCTGAATACCATCAGCAGAACATAGCAATGAAATGACAAAGTGTGGTGAGAAAGCAGCACGAGAACAGCTACTACATGTAACTACTATGTTTTCAGGTACTGTGACAGGATGTTCAAGTTTCTATTTTGGGAGGGCTGAACACTTGGCATCAACACATACACAAGCAGCCTATGAGACTTGGATGGGCTTTCAGCTGCATGGCCCAGTCCAAACCCTGCACCTCACCCTGTTTTCAAATATGCCTGCAACACTTCTCCTTACTGAAAGTGATACAAGGTCCAGCATATCTTTAGATATAGAAAAAAATAATGAGAATAACTCGAGATTTCTGTCAGGGTGCAAGAAAAATAAACACATCTTACTGGATGGGTAGGTAATGACTTACAATGTCTTTAAGCACTTCAGTCACCGTTGAGTTTGCATTTCCTCCTTTTATGAGCATAGCATTTTTTGTGTTTTCTGTAAGTTTGGGCTCTCTCTTCTCAAGAAACCTTTTCGCTCTCTTGGTTTTGGGCTTTCTACAACAACAAATTCACAGCTAAAAACACATCTACTTAAGCGGAGCAGTGCTACACGAGGTGCATGGAGCTCATACAAATGAGAAACGCCACGGCCGAAGCAAGACGCCGGCCTTCCTCCTCCGCCCTCTCGGTTCCCCCGTCCCACCCTCACTCCCGCAGCTCGGACGCGGCTCTCCTCGCCGCTCGCGGCTCTGCCCCCACTCACACCACCCGGTCCAGCGCGTCCATGGCAGCCCACGCGCAGCTTCCGCTGCGTCACATCCGGCATCCAGGGCGGCGCGAGGAGGCGGGCCGCCGCAGTACGCATGCGCGTGGAGCACGGCCAAAGCGCGCGAACCAACCCGAGCCGCAACATTTCCGGCTGCAAGCCGTGGCGGGTGGAAGCGTCGCTTTGAAACGGGGCCACGCCTGAGTCACGTGGCTCAGCTTACGCACCGCTGAGGGGCGTTATGGACCTTCGGCCGAGCAGCTGTCTGCTCTGTCACTGCAGTACGTGGGCACAGCAGCCCAGTTTGAGCACGACGCAAGGGGATGCCACATCGGGACATCCAGTTTAAACCACGATTCTTTTTCCTGCTTTTTGACAAGATATACAACACATCTGTCTTTTTCAAAGGTAGGGTCTTTTTATTACTTCAGTTTCGAGGTAGAGATGCACACGTTTCCAATCAACATCAAAAACAAATAAAACCACTAAACATCTCCCCCGCATAATCCAAACACGAAAGGAATGTAAGAACACAATGCCAGCTTTTCCCACTACAGACTGCTTGGGTAAAATAAAAATTGTGTCGTTGGCCCATTAATTCAATGAAGAGATTCTGAAGAGACAAGAACTGGTATCACGGAGGGGCATCATCTAAGGCAGCGCTTCCAGAAGGAGAATCCTCTGCCTCAGAAGCAGGGCTGTCAGGCAGAGGGACAGAAGAAGCATCCAAGTCATAGGGCTTTTCCAGATCACAGTTCATGTCAGAATTTCCTCTGTCACTCACCTCCCCCTCTGCCTCCTCAGTTAATTTATCTCCAGCCTGAGCTGACTCCTCAGAATCTTCCTGTTCGTGCAGAAAGCTACAAATCGTGTTCGGCCTGCTGTAGGAAAAGTCTCTGTCCTTGATCTGTAACCACTCCACACCACCTGATGCAAAGAAGGAAAATCAGCATTAGTGAGAAAAGGAGTTAAGCTAGGAAAAAAAAAATAATAATAATCATCTGTTCACAGATTATCAATGCTGAGCCAAACTAACATGTAAGTAAAAGAACCATTTAGGATATAAAGACATATTTCAAAAAATTTGGATCAATATTAATTCTGCACCGAGTCTCTCCTTGAATTGATACCATTCATTTTCCTTGAGAAGTAGGGCTACGAATAACAGAAAGGTCTATTTAAAATTAAGTGAAACTTAGCTGTTGAAAAATTAACAATGTGCAGACTAAACTTACCAGACATACAAACTTACAAGACTATATATATATAAAAAATATAGCAAATGTTTTTTTTCTGTTGTCAGTCAGGAAAAAAAATGGATACTTGAACAACTCTGTGTAGTTCATTGAAGTCATCAGCTCAGCATCTAGAGAGCAGTCCCAAGGAAGGTAATTAAGAGAGTAACGAAAAACAGGAATGTCGTAACGACGAGACAGACAAACTATTAAGTGCAAAAGTATTTCCTCAGATTTCAGAACAAGTGCCAACACTTCCATATGACAGACAAGCATACCAGGGAATATCAGCATATGTCTGACCAGTGCTTACATCCTTCTGCAGGAATCTCCTACTGGCATACTGGAGGCAACTCTGAGCAGAAGGAATCTGCTTGGGTTTTTTTGTTTGTTTGTTACGTATACATTTGTTGCCTGAAGAAGGAAGCTCCTCTAATTTCTGCATTCTTTAATCAAAAATTCAACTCAAAGCTGACCCATCAATGACTCTATGAATGAGAGCAGGAACACTGACCAATGCTTTCTTCTCCTTCCTTCTTCTCTGTCAAAAGCGTCCGTGTCATGTTCAACTTCTTCATTGTATGACACTTGTACTTCAGCTGTAGTTTTTGGTTGCCTTCAGCATCTACTATGAAGAGAGGAGGAAAAACAAGTCCCCAAAAAAAAATCATTATAGTGAATTCCACTATCAGCTGAAACAAGACTAAGATTATTGGAATGGGTCCAGAGCAGGGCGCTAAGATGGTGCTGGAGACCTCATTGCAGCCTTCCAGTACTTGAAGGCAGCATATAAACAGGAGGGGGAATGGCTGTTTACGAGGGTGGATAGTGATAGGACAAAGGGGAATGGTTTTAAACTGAGACAGGGAAGGTTTAGGTTAGATATAGAAGGAAGTTTTTGACACAGAGGGTGGTGACACACTGAAACAGGTTGCCCAAGGAGGCTGTGGATGCCCCATCCCTGGAGGCATTCAAGGCGTGGCTGGATGTGGCTCTGGGCAGCCTGGTCTGGTGGTTGGCGACCCTGCATGTAGCAGGGGGGTTGAAACTAGATGATCATTGTGGTCCTTTTCAACCCAGGCCATTCTATGATTCTATGATTATTCTGAATCTCACAGGCTTTTACAATAAACAGGACATCAAATTGTTACCATTACCATGCTCTGTGTTTTCCTCAAAAAACACGCAGGTTCCCAGGGCATCTAAGGAAAACAAAGTGAAATAGCCTTAGACACTAATTTCTATCAGCCACAGATACTGCACTCACTGTCACAACTCTAGAAATGCTGATTTCCAGCCTCACCTGAAGGCCCAGCCTTTGTTAACCACTTGCCAACTCAGAAACAGATAGCAGTATCACTGTCATTGAATGTACAGTAGAGGGTTTCAGATCATTTTCTTCCCAGTTATGTCCCACAAGGCAAAGAGGAGCAACAGTTTGCACAGCATGTCAGTCCTGCTTATACAGGAGACTGCAAACGCCTACTCCAGGACATCTTATACCCCATATTTTTTTCCCTTCAGAAATAACAGGTGGTACACTCCAGAATCAAGTCCAGGCATACTTTCCAGTAAATAAATACTGGATGTGTGGCAATTTTAGATGGTGCTGCTCTCTATTATTATACAGACATCATCAAGATCTTCAGTTCTTCATTGCCTCATACCCTCCATTAGCATTGATAAACAAGACTAATGTTAAGAAAGTTCTTTGGGTAATGTGAAGAAGGAGAGATTCTTTTATTTTTCCTACCTTCATAATCTCCTGCAAAGACATATCTGTCCACTTGCAAAATGGGTCTCTCTGTCTCTATTCCCTACAAAGAAACAGGAAAAAAAAGTACATGTCATGAGTCCATTTCTTACTGTACAACCAAAGTGTGCTCAGCACAACGCAAAGCAGAATCTGTAGCTGTAGTAGCTTTTGTCAGTTATCCCATGATACGATATCAACAGTCTCAAGGAACGTTTATGTTGTGAATAAGACCAGGTAGACTGGGCATGAGTAATGCAGCTATTTAAAGCTTTTCTAACAGCATTGCAAGAGAATCTTAAAGCACAATATTTATAAGCACCCCATTAACACTGTTGAAAAGCACATACTCATTCAGTGACCAATTCAATAATCAATCATCACTGTAACGCATTTCAAGAGAATTAGGTCAGACACACGAAACCAATCCGCTTATAAAAGCACATTCATCCAGCAGTGGATAATTTATGAATTTGGACTGCATTTCCTTATTTAATATTTTCAAAATTGACTCTACCACCTCACACAGTCTGACCAATTGCACACACTAAGATGTTTGCTTCCACCTTTGTGGCTGGCAACATATAATAAAGGTCTGGTTATCCTTCACATTCACAGTAAATAGAATTAGCCAGACAACATCTGCAGGAACACAGTGCAATGCAGAAACATGCAGCCTTTGCCGTGTCCAAGTTATTTAAAGAAATGTGCTTCGCATTTATTTAGGTGTGCTAAGATACATGATTTTAAAAACTCAACTAAGAACTTAAAAACAGAATGGATAATAAAAATGTATGCGCACTTCACAGAACCATAGAAAGGCCTGGCTGAAAATGACCACAATGATCATCTGGTTTCAATCCCCCTGCTATGTGCAGGGTCACCAACCACCAGACCAGGCTGCCCAGAGCCACATCCAGCCTGACCTTGAATGCCTCCAGGGATGGGGCATCCACAACCTCCTTGGGCAACCTGCTCCAGTGTGAAATATACTTCTGAAAGTATTTCCTAAATTCAGGAACAACATGCTACTTCCAATAGAATGACCACAACCCGCAGCCAAGCGCAGCCAAGAGAAGTCATGTAACTCTCTACCAAAGATTTTATCTAAATTTCATTGACTTCAAGGCATTTGGAAACAGCCCTGCTCAGTTGTTGACTTGTGTACTCACTTACCCCTTTCCTATTGTGCTGTAATCACTCACCAAAATCTTGCATTTGTTTTCGCATTTTTCTAAGAAGTCTGAATCAATAATTCCCGAGAGCTCCACCATCACCAGCTGCTCCTACAAGATAAGTTATAACATGCACCTATTACTGATGTACCTGAACTCTAGAAAAAAAACACAAAGACACAGACCTTCAGCTTAAACAGACCCTAAAACAGCTTATTCTGCATCCAGCCCACAGGAAATGGCAGACATGAGAACACCCAGGGGAATGCTGCTCCCCACTGCTCCATCAGACACCTGCTTTACACCTGGCCAGCCTGACCTTTTTCTTCCTAGCTAGGAAGTTTCACCCTTGAAAAGCCATTTACTTTGGAAAAACGAGAATCAACGTGGAGAAAGTGGTGTGAGCTATAACAATGTGACGGTTATACATTTCAAAACACATTTTCCAGACGTTAAATATCTACCTAAGGTAAGGCATACTAGAACGAGAGGTAAAATTAAGCAAATACTGCTTGAAACAGCTGCTTTAAGAGGGATAAGAAGATCGCTAGTACCGGAAAAACGCTTTCCACTAACACTGTTTTCCAAAAAACTTAACCGAGAACAGCCGCAGGGACTTAACTTTCAGAACACGGCCGCTGCGCAGGCTGCGACCCACCGCACGCAGCGGACACGCGGCCTCTCTGTGCCCGACTCACGGCCGGCCCAGAACTCACGTCACCCCGGCCCTCCTCACCCGGCTCCGCGGCCCATCGCGAGCGGCGGCGCCAGGCACACCGGCGAGACACGCCCCAAGGGGGCGCCCCTTCCCCTACCGGTGCCCGGGAAACAGAGGAGCCCGAGGAACACGCAAACCGACCTCCACCTCGCCCTCATCTTCCTTCTCGCCCCCCTCCACGCCCTCCACCGCCGCCATGTCG